GAGCGTTCCACAGCCCTCAAAAAGCGGATATCCAAAAAGCCCGGTCCAGCCCTTGGGGCCTTTTATAGAGAGCACAGGAAGTACAATCAGTACCCACAAATTAAACACCTCTAATTATGAGCTGGAAATGTAGAGTTGAAGAGATCAGCATTAGCATGCACTCTCCGAAAGTCGCTCTATAAATACACCTCTTCACCACCACCACATACTCCATCACTGACAGGATGTTACCTTACTTGCTTATTTTGATATTTCAAGATAAACACCGCTCACACAGTGCTGGAAATAAAACTCTTTTTTCCATCATTAGCAACATTATGAATATGGATTCTGATATAATTAGCAGTAGCACAATGTGGTTTCTTTACGCTTCATTAGTGTTTTGCTGTGATTAATGAAGGTGCGAAGCGTATTGACTGCTCATCTCACAGGGCCCATGAGAGCGCTGCTGTGTCATCAAACTACAGCCCCCTGAGACTCGACTATCACTATGGACTATACAGCATTAATAGCAGATATTATGAACTAGAAACTTTCAGAGGTGGTAATGGGGGAGTTTTACCCACAATGCAATTATAACTTCCTCTTCAGGCAAAAGCCCATATTTGTAGAAGCTCTCCATCAGTTTCCTCAGATGTGGAGTGAAACACTTCCTGTGATAAATTAATTTAGAATTTTGGTGTTTAAACCACAAGGTGAGTCAGTTCTGTTAGGTAATACACTGGGGGGAAAAAAATTTACTTTTGGATTTACTGTACAAATACCTAAGCATTCTCGCATTTACTGGAGAAGAAAAATGGCTGAGACATTGTTTTCTGAAAAATTTTGTCTTGAATTAAGTTAACGATTCATTTTACTCAAAGAAGTTAACTTAATTTTTGGTATTTTTAAGAAAAAAAAAACTTAAATATTTTATATTTAAGTATAAAAATTAAGTGAGTTTATGATTAAAACAAGAAAAATGTGAAAACAATCCACACTGACAGATATTTTCTCTTGTTTTAATCATAATTTACATAAACATAATTGTTGACTTTTTTTTTCCAGAAAACAAGACTCATTTTACATTTTAAATTGATCAAAAGTAAGTGAGTTTATGATTAAAACAAGAAAAAATATTGAAAATAATCTGTCTTCATTTCTTGTCTTAGTCATAATTTAGAACTCAATTAAGTCAATTTGGTAACACCTCTGGGCATTTCTACTGAAAGTGACGTGACATGTGACCCATACTAGCTCTGCATTTAACCCATCCAAAGTGCACACACACAGCAGTGAACACACACACACCGTGAACACACACCCGGAGCAGTGGGCAGCCATTTATGCTGCGGCGCCCGGAGAGAAGTTGGGGGTTCGGCTGAGGGGCTCAAGGGCACCTCAGTCGTGGTATTGAAGGTGGGAGAGAGCGCTGTACATTCACTCCCCCCACCTACAATCCCTGCCGGTACGAGACTCGAACCCACAACCTTTGGGTTACGAGTCCCCTTAACACTTTAACTTAAGTTTGGTACTTTTTTCAGAAAACAAGACTTACTAAATGATTTTTCTTCTCAAATTGATCAAAATTATTTGATTTAATGACTAAAACGAGAAAAATAGAGAGAATGTTTGTTTTTCTTACCCCATTGACAGATACTTTTCTTGTTTTAATCATTAACTCAATTCATTTTTTGTATTACTTGTACTCATATCAAGTAATTTTGATCTTTATTTTATTTACTTTAATCAAGATTTTTTTTTTTTGATATTTGTAATGCAAAATGAGAAAAATACTTAGTAAGAAAATCATTTTTGCAGTTAACTAAATGAAATAATATTTTAAAATATACTGATGTCATATAAAAAGCATAACAAATAACAAAATCAAGTTTTTTTTCTGGAATAAACTATTAAAATAACGTAAACTTTAGGGTTACCCAGCTGAAAAAAAGGTCTAATCTGGCCTCTTAGCTGGTTCGCACTGGTCTGGTTTGATGGTTATATGTGGGGCATCAGACTGACCAGCTGAACACAAACTTGGAAAAAACAGACCGGCAAACCTACTGGTCAGGAAGGTAAAGTGGGACAGCAGCAGAACAAAACATTGAGCATGTGACTTTGTTTGGGTGTCTAAACGGCGTGGAAACTAAATAAAACTGCTGGTTTTATTTAGCGCTGGCGTTTTCCTGTCTAAACAACAGTCGTTTTGCACCAGTGTCACGGGTCTGCATAAACAAACTGCACAATAACACACCTGAAGCTGCTTTGATGGGTCACAGTGACTCTTGGCAGCATGAACACCTTTGGCATGTGTGTGTGTGTGTGTGTGAAAGAAAATGTATTTGTACTGTGTGATTTGTCTGAGCAGATATTTTAGGAGCGTCTGTAGGAGTTGAAGAATGTGCGACCACAGACTAGTCTATCGTCTGCTTGGATTGCAGGCCGTCAGTTCATTCGAGCCGTCCAGGTCCCCTGTGTGACCAACTCAACCAAACTGCCGCCCACTTACCGGCAGGAAAATGACAAGCCTTAGAAGAGCACTGAGTTTCCTTCGCCAGTCGGCACGGAGAAAATGAGGGACCAAAGATGGTGATAGTTTCCTGTTGGAGTGGGCGGCAGCGGAGACATGTCCCGTTCTTCTCTCCATCAGCAGGTTGGCCCCTCTCTCCTCCAGAGGTCAGGAGCACAGCACCATCTACTGGACGAGACCACGGTCCAATTAGACAAAACAACAGAACCAGATGGGAAACTCAACACAAACACAATCTCAGAAGGGCCTCATTTTCTTCCTGTTGTGTTCAAAACCTGGGTAGGCTACTTCTGTGTTGGGATTGTTACACTAGTCAACATTTCAAGTCGATCAAAACCTTTCATCAAAGTTGTCCTAAAACCAAAACAATACCTGTTCTTCTTTTAGGACAACTTTGAAAATAACTACAGCTAGAAGTAGAAATAGCATCTAACACGTACCTAGTGTAAGTAGTATTTACTGCTATTTGTATTTCCTCTGCCTTTTTAATGTCTTTTTCCAAATTCAAAATGGTTTCTCGCACTTCTTTTCAATGCTGCATCAGTCTAGTAATTGAGATCCAAAAAACTAAAAACCACTGTGAAACTCAAATAGATGAAGAAACCGTGAATTTTCCTTGGATGATTTAGACGATGAATCCCGATTTCAAGCAAACTTTAGTCTTAAATATTTATGTTCTCGTGTATTTCATATTTTGGTTACACTTTATATTAAGGTGTCCTTGTTACAGTGGAATTATACACTTAAGTACTGATTAATATTAATTAACTACATGTACTTACAGTATATACTCTAAAAAATGCTGGGTTGTTTCAACCCAATGTTGGGTCAAATATGGACTAACCCAACTGTTGGGTTAAATTTTGGTTACATTTTTAAATTAGCTTTTTAACCTAATAGTTGGGTTAGTCCATATTTGACCCAACATTGGGTTGAAACAACTCAGCATTTTTTAGTGTAGTTAGGGTTTGGTTTAGAGTTACTTGCATGTAATTATGCATAATTTATTGTTATTATAATAGTAATGTTTAACAAGGACACCTTAAAATAGGGTGTTACCCATATTTTAGGGTTTGATAAGCTACAAAAGAGGTTTTCTGGTTTCTACTCTTTAGTGTTTTTCAGAGCGTTGATTTCTGTCAAATTGCATGGAAGCCGATGAGAGTCAATGCGGGAGTCTGTATGACCCCCAACACAAAAGTCTCCAAATGTCTATGTGCTGAAACTTTCCGAGCACATTCAAATGAGAAATATTCACCAAATTTCAAGAAGAAATAGTTTAACCAGTAGTTTGAGAAGTTTGAAAGTTGAGTGTGGGTCAAACTGACCCCAACACGACGGGAAGGTTAAAAATACATCTGAGATTTGATCCAATTGTTAATCACAGAAACAGGTTGCATCTCACATTCACCACAGACTTAACCCGAAGATAAAGCCCAATACAAAAAACAATTACCAAAATATGAAACTGTAAATGATAAATACATATTTATCATTGAAATTGAGCAATTTCATCTTTCATCACACATCAGAATCTGCTTACAAATGCAAATAAATATCAAAACGTTCTTGGCTTAATGTTTCTCTGAATGTCTTTATTACATACACATGAACATGTATGTACAGTACGCATGAATACTTCAGTGTTTTAGAGGCCAAAACCACGGTAGTGCGAGTATAAAGTGCTTAAATAAAATACAACTTGTGCTTAAGTCAGCTGACAGGATGAATAAAAGGGATCAACATCACTGCAGTTAAATACTGTTAAGCAATTTTCATTATCTTGAGTCACTGTCCTTCTCAAATGGACCAACATTAAGCGAGTTTATGATTAAAACAAGAAAAAAAGAGAAATAATTTATCTTATTTTTCTTACTCCACTGATAAAAGTTTTAATCATAATCTCATTTAATCAATTTTACAGAAAAACAAGACTTAATATCTTAAATCACTTTGCTTCTCAAATGGACCAACATTATGTGAGTTTATGATTAAAACAAGTACAAATATAGAGAAAAACAAACTGAAAATTTGTCTATATGTCCAATTTTTTTCTTACCTACTAACAGATATGTTTTCTTGCTTTAATCAAACTCACTTAATTTTGATCCATTTGAGTATCAAAAGACAAGAAAACAAGACTTCATATCTTGGTTCATTTTCCTTATTAAGTGAATGCATCTTGATTTAAGATTTTTTTTAAAAGGCAAATGAGACAAAAAAAATACTATATAAGAATTTTTTTTTTTTTGCACTGTACTTAAAAGGATATTTCATCCAAAAATGAAAAATCAGACCTCATTTACTCATCCTCAAGTTGTTCCAAACCTATGCGAGTTTCTTTCTGGTAGCCATTGACTTCCACAGCATTTTTTTTTCATAATATGGAAGTCAATGGCTACCATTTAATTTCTTCAAAATAACTTATTTTATGCTCAACAGAAAAAAAAACTCATACAAGTTTGTAACAACATGAGGGTTAGTAAACCATTTTTTAAGTGAACTATCCCTTTAATGCAGTCATATGTCTTTCTAAAGCATAACAGTTCAATCATTTACACAATAAAATCAACCACACAGACTTGCATGTGCTTCAGTTGTTGAGATTGTAAGGAGCAATAAATACAAACACTGGCCATTTCAGATAAACCAACCAGTCTCAGATACACCTCATAAAACTGTCATCCAGGTGGTCTTTCCGGTTGATGAAGACACACTGGATGTGGGAGGCCCGTGGGCCGCTCTCCTCTCTGCGGAGGGTGATGATGAACCTGCTGATGCCAGTGTTTGGGCACGGGGAGAACACCTGGCTCATCTTCAGGCCTGCGGGCAAACGGCACTGCAGGTCCTCCACTAAGTGGCGCACAGACACACGGATAAACGCCCCGTGACTGACGATCAGAGTGTGGACAGGTACGCTCTGGACTCCATCGTTAGCTAGTCCAGCAATCACAGGCTGTTCTGGTTCTGATGGTCCAGAGGTGGACGCAGAACGCTGGTCGCCTGAGCCGTGCTCCTCTAACATGCGCTGATACAAGGATCTGAGGAACTTCTTAAAGCGCGTCTTTACCTGGATTAACAGAAACAGTTTCTTCTGTGTGAGCATTCATCTGATCAGCCAATGGCGACTGCAGTCTTGGAAAAATACTGTAAAAATGACTAAATATAAAGCTTGGATTTTTTACGTTTTTGAAAGACTACACAACTGTATTTATTTGATCAAAAAACAGAAGAAACTGCAATATTGTGAAATATTACTACAGTTTAAAATAAATTTTTCTATCTAATTTAGTCCTGTGATGCAAAGCTGAATTTTCAGCATCATTACTCCAGTCTTCAGTGTCACATGATCTTCAGAAATCATTCTAATATGCTGATTTGCTGCTTAAGAAAGGTTTGCTATTATCATCAATGTTGAAAACAGTTTTGCTGCTTAATTTTTATTTTATTTTTTGTAGAAAAAGATCAAAAGTTTGGGATAAGTAATATTAAATAAATAAAAAATACATTTATGATTTTATTCAACAAGGATGCACTAAATTAGTCAAAAGTTGAAATTGAAAACATTTATAAAGGTTCCTGGTTTTCTATTTTAAATAAATGATGTTATTTTGAACTTTCTGTTCATTAAAGAATTCTAAAAAAATAAATATTAAGCAGCAAACCAACATTGTTAATAATAGGAATCATTGCTAATAATTGACTACCAATAATAATTGAGCAGCAAATCAGCATATTAGAATGATTTCTGAAGGATCATGTGACACTGAAGACTGGAGTAATGATACTGAAAATTCTGCTTTGCATCACAGGAATAAATTACATTTCAAATTAATATAAAATTGTAAAAATATTTCGAAATATTACTTTTTTAATGTAATTTTTTATTAAATAACTGCAGCCTTGGTGATCAAAAGAGACTTCTCTCAAAACATTAAAATATCTGAATTATTCCAAACTTACTTGAAATTAAAGTACTTTCACAACATCCAGCTGCACCAGTTTCAGTGTAAAAGCTACTTCAATTTCCATCTGGATTTAAGTGGCACCCTATTTTGCAACATTCAAGACTTCTTTTCTTGTGCGAATCCTCAATTTCTACCTGTTCCAGCGTCTCTCCGCCGGGCGGTGTATAATCTCGGCAGGCCTGACCCGCTGCGTTCGCCATGTTCTTAAGATGTTCCTTTGGTCTTCCCTCTGCCACCCCAAAACCCTGTCCAATAAATCACATGTGTGCTTATAAACCAACACAACTGCAGTTCTTATAGTCAATGCCAAATATATTTATTCATTGCATAATTACTTATATTCCTCTAACCATACAATTGTATCCATTCTTTTATATTTAATGCACAGTCCAAGTAGCTGTAGACGGACTGCTTGGGGAAACTCACCCTCTCTCTGAGTAAAGGATCCGATATCATCTCAGTCGCAGAAGAATGAAGGTTGTTTCCTAAAATGATTTCAGCTGTCTTGAGAAGGAGAAGTTATATTTTATTTGAGGGGTGGTTCACTCAGAAAATCGAACACAGTTGAGTCACACACACCTGGACGGCTCTTTGCAGGTTACTGACGAAGACATTGGTGAAATGCAGATCTCTGAGGTACTGTCCGGCCGCCGCTGCCTGCTGATGTCCCGTGTCCGACAGCAGTGTGTCGATGCCCTGACCTTCACAATGGAGAAAAAATCTTTCATCCACACACTGAAAAGGTCAACAGCACACAATAGAGGTCAGCTTATACATACACTGACCTTGAAGCAGTTTATCTCTGTTATATTGTGTTTCCCCACTATGAAACAGAGCACATAATAACATATAATAAATAAATGACTTAAGAAGGGACAGTTCACATGCTGTGACATCTATATATTCATTTAGAGGTCACTGTGTTAAACTAGACAAAACATGTCAGATTTCAGAGTTATGTAGCCTATATACAATATAGAGCAAATCCTGTAACCATTTGGTGATGTGTTTATGAGCAGACTTGAACACACATGCAAATAATGTGCATGTCCTCTCTGTCCCCACAGCATCATCAAATAACATTTCAGCTATAAACGAATCATTACCCTTTTTATGCATGTAAAACAAAAGCAAAAAGACAGAATACACACGTGCACACTTACTGCCGAACGATCGTCAGTGCAAATGAAAGCATAATACAGATTTGTAAAAATGGATGAAATGTATGGCCGGCGGCTCTTCCTGGTTCATGAGTCAACAACGTGTTGCGGATAAATGTCGGTCGCTCAAGGGAATGGAAGTCTGTCGCCCCCCGGTGGTGAAGTGCACCACTGCATGTGTAACGCTGACAGAGTCAACATCCTGTGACTTGAGCTGCAAATGTTGCTTTTTCCTGTGTTCTTGCTCTTCTTACTGAGAATTTTAACCCAACGTACCTGGCCAATTAGAGATAATATCTAAATCCTGACTTTTTTGAAATTCAAATTGTGATTCTATTGTGTAATTGACAAAGTCCGCCACATGAGGGCGAAAGTATACCACGTTCTGTTGTAATATAGAATTCTTAGTATTGCAGTCAACGAAGGGTTATTATAGCTAACTGAACAAAAACCTTAAATCATCATTTTTTTAGTTGAAATAAAATAAATACTTATTTTATTTTAGCGGATGCCAAGGAAACATATCTAATTTCATTTAGTTTAATTTGATGTAAGCTACTAAAATAACTTATTAATCATAATAAAATTAATAATACAAATTATAATAGTACTAATTATACTAAATAACAGTGACTCAACATAAATGTAAAAAAATTAACACGCATGTTATTAATAAATAATAAGTAATGTGACTCTAAATTTCACTCAAATGCAAAGAGAATCTTTTAAAACAATTCTCATTTTCATTTATTTAATGATCGAAAATAACCTACCTAAAACGGAAAATTTTAATAAAATGAATAAAAACCATATGGACAAATAAAAAAACAAAACCTAATAAAACATGAAAATTACTCAAATTTACTAAATGCAAAAATAGCACAGACGCAACATATTTAAACAAACAAACAAATAAACAGAAAACGTTTCTCACTTTCATTTAGTTGAATTTGCTGTTCTAAAATAAATAAACTAAAACTTAAATAAAATTAACAAAGACCATATAGACAAAAAACGAATAAAAATGACTAAATTACTAAAATGTAATTAAAATTGTAAATAAAAATGGAAAACATAAAAATTTAAATTAATCCGAGCTTTTAATAAAAAAATTGTAATATAATCTCAATTGTAAAAAACTAAACAACAACAAACATATCTCTCCAGTTTCCAAAATCAAAACAGGTTTTAGAATTTTACTAAAAAGCAGAGAGAATCTTCTTTCGAGAAACAAGCCTCATGGGAAACAGACAGTAGCAGTCTCACCGCACACTGTCCTTCACCTCACTTGATATCTGATGATGGTTGCAGATACGACCCAACGCCTAGAGCAGGACGGCCCATCATCTGTTTAGCTTGCACAGGGCTGCTGACATAGGACTAATCCATTAACCCAGTATTCAAGCACTGAGGTCTGGAACTCTGGAACCAATGATTATTTTAGTCTTTCTAGCAAAATTTTGTTGCATAATCTTGTCAGTGCAGGTAAAGGAAACATCTGGATCTCATCTGTAGTGTGTTACAACACAGTCAGGAGGGCGTGTGTGTGCGATGACATCATATGTGTCTTAGTTCTTGCCTCCGTAATTGGCCCCGTTTGCTCCGGCGGCGCGGAACACACAAGTGGAGCCAGACACATGCTCACAGGGATTTTCCAGAAAGACGAGGGGCCCTGTTTTAGGGACGCTGAGGGGCTGAAACCACTGTAAATGTCACAAATGAATGAAGGGCCTCAACCCAAAACGCAATCTGATCCAGAGCGCCCCTGGGCAGCGCCGTTTGATCTGCTTCACATTCCACCTCCGAGAGCCAAGGCAACAGACATTACAGCATCCCCATGTTATGACTTTATCAAAACTATCTTCACATGTAAATTGTTAAGAGCTGCTTGGCTTTGTTTCTTCCCAACATCATCATCCGATTGATTGGCAGCCAAGCGCTAATTTCACAATCAGAAGCCGATGCTTTTAAAACGGGCCTTTTTGAGTTAACATACACACACTTAAGATCTTTGGCATGAAATCTGTATGTTTTTCCCCACAGAAATCTTCTGCAGAGTGATTTGCATGATCCCAGCTAACAGTGAACTTTCTCACAACTTTCACTAACGGTTTTTAAAAGTTATATAAGTGTAAGGAGAAAACGGTAATGTGCTAAACGAAAACATGTTAGTAATGTGCTAGGCTATATATTGCTAGAAACATGCTATCAGTGTGCTAAATCATGCTAGAAACATGTTAAAATATGCTAGCAATGTGATAAATCATGCAAGCATCATGCTAGGAACAAATCAAGTTATCACCATGTTAAAACATGCAAGCAATGTGCTAAAACATATGAGAAACATGCTAGCAACATATTAAATCATGCTATCAACATGTTAAAACATGCTAGCAATGTGCTAAATGATGCTAGCAACATGTTAGCACAATACTAAATCATATTAACGCAAAATCATTTTAGAAACATGCTAGCAGTACGCTAAATCATGCTAGGAACATGCTATCAGTACGCTAAATCATGCTAGCAACATGCTAGAAAAAAAATCATACTAGCAACACATTAAAACATGCAAGCAATGTGCTAAATCTGGCTAGAAACATGTTACTAAATCATGTTATCACCATGTTAAAACATGCTAGCAATGTGTTAAATGATGTTAGCAACATGTTGGCACTGTACGAAATCATGCTAGCAGCATGCTAAATCATGTTAGCAACATATTAAATGTTCAGTCATGCTAGCAATGTTCAAACATGCGAGAAACAAATAATGTCAGCTCCATGTTAAAACATGCAAGCAATGTGCTAAATCATGCTAGAAACATGCTATCTTAAATCATGCTATCAACATGTTAAAACATGCTAGAAATGTCCTTAATGATTCTAGCAACATGTTAGCACCGTACTAAATCATGCTAGCAGCATACTAATTCATGTCAGCATGCTAAAACATGCAAAAAATGTGCTAAATCATGCTAGAAACATGCTAGCAGCCTGTTAAAACATGCTACCAATGTGTTAAATAATGTTCTTATTAATGTTGAGAGAACACGTTCTGGGAATGTTTTCAGAAAATGTCCTTATGGTGTTATTTGTATTTGATTAATGTTCTAAGAAATGTTTTTGCAACCTTTAAATAATCTTCTAATCATGACTAGAACACTGAACACTTTAACATTCTTAGAATAGGCTATTAAAAATAAACATTCAAATAGTCTTATATGTTGGGTGAAAATAAAGTTAGTAGAATGTTGTAAGAAATGTTTTTGTAACTTTTAAATAATGTTATAAACGAATAAGACAAGAAATCTGAATATTTCAGCATTTGAGAAACATTTCAACACGAAACAATATTTCCACAATGTTTTTATAATTTGTGACCTGGGATGGATCTCTGCAGTCTAAACTACATTTAGATGATCGTTTGCCTTTATAGAGTGTTCACTGCGTAACTGAAAGGCATCTGTGTGCTTTTTTCTCAAGATTAGTCTTGCATGCCAACACTGTGATGAAGTTCTAACTATTGTTTCCATGATTTGCTCCAAAAAAGATGTGTGTAACTCTGACAGAGCTGCTAATGTTTCACATTGATTTGACTGCAGCACTGTATTTATTATACATTTGCCAGTGTCTCTATCTGCATCTGTGGGTTTGTTTAGCAGATACTGTGTTTCTGTAATTCAGCGTGCCATGGGAAAAAGCAGAATAAGCTTGGCAAATTTGCTCCTAATTACTAAACATTGCCGTTGACAACTCTAACTTGCCCTTTAATCATGTCCCAGAAATCCATGCAGGGCTGTGAAACTGATGAAGTGATTGCAGTGCCATTGTGAAATATGCAGTCAAAATTAGATTCTAATCTAAATGAACATACCATTAACCCTTATCATCCAAAAAGTTGTCTGATTAGCAAATTCTGAATGGGACTGAATATGCTGATGTGTCTGAAATATAATGCAAACATGCATATTGTGTTGTTTACCCAAATATCTGCCACAGGGTTGTCAGCTAAATGATGCGCATGTGTTTATACATTAAACTCAATCTTGACCACATTCACACAGTGCTATTTTTAAAATATCCTGATTCATCGCTTCTCTCACTTGATTGACATCTCTAATGAGGCTTGCCAACAATACAGTATATTTAAACAATTTCCAATGATGTTGAATTGGAGTGCTAAAAAATCCTATCCAAGCACTACACACTGTAAAAACAATGTTTATTAAAGTTGTAAACCAAGAGTAACATATACGTATATATATATAGAGAGAGAGAGAGAGAGAGAGAGAGAGAAAGATTCTAATTACGTGATTTAAGACCTTTATACAGTGCATGTCTTTGAAAAGACTGTGAAAAAGACTGTCTATGCGTCTAACCTGACTAAAATCAATTATTTGTGAAATTTACTAGCAGTTTCTGAGTAAAAAAAAGTCACACCATTTTTTTCAGTTTATGTATTTGTTAAGGATGCAATGATATATTTCATGATGTGGAACTTGTGTCCGGAACCGGAGGGAGAAGTTGATCCCTTTGGGCCATTGCAGTCCTGGGAAGATCTGTGTCAAGATCAGGGACATCTCTCATTTTTGCTATCCTTCCCTCTCTCCCTCTCATACACAGTCTGAGTAGGTCATTTCAGGCCTGTTTTCACAGACTTTCAAGTAATGATATTATTAACAATGGAAGAGCGTCTCTGCTACTCCTCACTGGATCAGTGGCCGCTGGGAAGGGTCAAGAACCTCCTCTGGCTTGACCTTGCGGAGAAGGTCGACAGAGATTTTCCAGGGGGCATCAGTTATTATTAGACTATCTGTGAAGATAAACTCAAGCAGTCTGTGTGGGAATGGATTATTTGAGCTTGATGAGTCTTAGGAAGCGGTCATTCTCATCAGCTCTCCAGAAGACTCACCATTTTCTTGAGCAATCAGAGAGCGATACTGTAATGTTGTGGAGAACATGAACTGCTCTATGCTAGAAACACTGCAGCATTTTTCACTGAATAATGGGAAAATCAGATCTGCCCATTTTGGTATGGGAAATCTATTCTTGGAGTGTGGGACGGGCGAAGAACATCGAGTTATTTTTCTGGTTTTATGAGTTTTTGAAGTGAGACTTTTAGATGTTATTGCTGGTTTATGGCACACTATCAGAGAGAAGAAGAGTTGTGCATA